CCTCTCTGTAAAAAATCAATAAAATATATTTTTTAAAAAAGAACATATACTAAGTGAAATAAGTCAGAACAGAGAAAGATGAATACCATATGATCTCACTAACATGTGGACTCAAAAAAAACAGCCAATTTTTTAAAAAAATATTTTATTGATTTTTTTATAGAGAGGAAGGGAGAGGGATAGCGAGTTAGAAACATCAATGCGAGAGAAACATTGATCAGCTGCCTACTGCACACTCCTTACTGGGTATGTGCCCACAACCAAGGTACATGCCCTTGACCAGAATCTAACCTGAGACCCTTGAGTCCACAGGCTGATGCTCTATCCACTGAGCCAAATTGGTTAAGGCCCCAGCCAATTTATTAACAGAATAGATTGAGGATTGCCAGAGGCAGGGAGTAGAGAGTAGCAGAAATGTGTAAAGTAAGTCAAAAACTCCCAGCCATCATTGCTCAGCGGTTGAGCTTCGGCATATGATCCAGGAGGTCATGGTTTGATTCCCGGTAAGAACACATGCCTGGGTTGCGGGCTCCATCCTCAGTGTGGGGTGTGCAGGAGGTGGCCAATCAATTATTCTTTTTCATCATTGATGTTTCTATCTCTCTCACACACTCTCTTCCTCTCTGAAATCAATAAAAATATTTTTAAATGATTTTTTAAAAAATAATTCCTTAATTCAGCGATTTTCAACCTTCTTTTCTATGGGCATACATAAACTAATAACTAAGAATGCTCTTTTAGTAATTGGTTTATGCATGCCATGAGAAAAGAAAGATTGAAAACCACTGCCTCGCCTGGCTGGTGTGACTCAGGGGTTGAGCGCTAACCAATGAACCAGGAGGATGGTTTGGTTACAGGTCAGGGCGCATGCCAGTGTTGTGGGCTCCAACCTCAGTGTGTTCATGAAGGAGGCAACCAATCAATGATTCTCTCTTTCTATCTCTTTCTCCCTCTCCCTTCCTCTATTAAATCAATAAAAATATATCTTAAAAAATAAATAATAAAATTGTTGCCTTAAATCAATTTCACATACTGAAACTTTATGCCCTTAAATAATACCTCAGCCAAACCTACAGCCCCTGGCAACCACCAATCTAATCTCTGCTCCATTGACTTTCATTGTTTCTCATTCCTCATAAAAGTGGTATCATGTAATATATGCCTCTGGCATATTTTATTTAACATAATATGAACCAGGTTCATGAATATTGCCACAAATTGCAGTGTTTATTTTTTTTAAGGCTGAATTACATCTCATTGTATGTAAATACCAGGTTTTCTTTATCTAGTCATCTTTCAAAAGATGTTTAGGTTACCTCTAAGTCTTGGTCCTTCTGCACAATGCTCAGCAAACATAGGAGTGCAGATCTCTCTTTGATGTTTTCATTTCATTATATACATATCAAAAAGTGGGCTCGTTGGATCATATGGTAGTTCTATTTTTTTTTTAATTATTTGTTGGGAAAACTCCATACTGTTTTCTATAGTGACTGCACCAATAATAAATTCCACCAAGAGTGTACAAGGATTTGCTTTT